AAGAACAGAAGGAAGACTCTTCCTTCCTCACTCGCCTGTATATTTAATCTGTGAGAGATGGCAAATTGGTATTCCTTACTGCTCTGCTAGATCTAAGATCGGTGCTTCCCCAGCCCTGCTAGGGGGTTTGTTCCAAACTCTCAGTACCCTTGTGCAAAGAAATCTTTTCTTTTTTTCTGACCTAAACTGGTTCTCTGCAATGAACTGGCATTCCATCCGGGGTGTTCCTCTGTCTTGTGCCCTGCACTGCCTCGGATATGTTCAGGCGATGGAGGCCCAGTAAGTTAGCATCCTAGACCTGTGATCAGAAGGTCCCAAGTTCAAATCCTGGGGTCGATACAGTGATTTTACAGTTGGATCCTTGAGCAAGACCCCTAACCTTAATTGCTCCAGGGACTGGCTGGCCCTGCTTTCCCAATCGCTCATCACTTTGGATTAAGGTGTGTGTGTGTGTGCGTGTGTGCGCGCACTCCAAGCCCCCTAATTACTTTGAAACTAGATGGGTGATGTCAACTAGTCCCTAACTAGTTTCTGTCCGTGGTTTTCAGTATGTGTAAATGGTGAAGTAATCCTTGTAGATGACTTTGCTCTTAGATGTCTCTCGTCTCCTCTCAGGGTTTTGTAGATTGGGCTGTGTCTCCTGTCCGAGCCTGGATAGCAAAGTGCTCATTTAGATAAGAATTAGTTACAAAAGGTACTATACGATAGGGTGTACTTTTGTAAACATAAAAGGTCCGTTTCTCACAAATGCAGAGTGGTTGCAGTTTTATTCGTCGCATTTGGAGCAAAACTATTATCCGCTCTCTAAAGTTTAATTGATTCCTTGATGAGGGCTGGCAGGAAAGCTGACATACGCTTTGGCCAGTGCAGTGAGCACTGGGGAGGGTGTCACCGCATTGTGGGGGGGGGGTCCTGCAATCCCAGTGTCACCTGAGTCCATTGCTGTGGCTGCAGAGTGGCTTGGTGAGCGCAGACACAAGTTCCCGAATATATAACTGCTGCCCATAAAACTGCACATTGTGAATAATGGCTCCATTTTATCTTTTTGTCTCCCCCCCCCCCCCCCAAACGCCCTTTTTCCCTCTGTGAATCTGTCACACTCATTTGAGTGTGAAAAACTTCGAGACCTTAAAGTGGAGTCTCGGAAAGGTGCTGTAGCCAGAGCTTCAGTGAAATGCACCTTCGACGCGCAGACCCTCGCTCTTTGCTGCGCTTTTCATGGTCGCCCTTTGTTCTTGCAGTACCAGCACTCCCGTGGCATTTTAGGTTGAGGCCCTGAGGTCGCGGTCTATACATAAAGAACCTGTATCTGGCACATCCCAGCTTAGATCCGTTGTTGTGGTGACCTTCACCATCATAACGATGAGTTAGTGTTATAGGTAGTGCCAATCTTCATTTCTTCTCTTCACTGCGATTTCTCTGGGCAGAGCGAGATGTTAATCCAAATAGTCGTTTCTGTACACGGGATGAGCGTTTGAGCAAATTCCGGTTGGTCGGTATCACTCGTATCCGTCGGTCCTGCGGCTTTCGATAGCCGAACAGTGCGACGTCCACCGTGGACACAAAGGTCATGGGACACCAGGGAACTGGCCGGACTCGAGAGTTGGGGCTTCTTGTTTGGCGGTAAAGGACACGCTCTGCAGCGGCAGGAATGCGACGCAAAGATGCCGACGGGTCGCAGCGCAGCTGCCAAATCATTAACATGGGTCAAACAGAAACTAGATGTGGTTCAGAGGATGTGGTAGAGGTTGAGGGGCATGCTGGGACATGCCGGATGACATTTCTTTCCCAGGTTAGTGGTAGCCCACTGTTGTGCATGGTGGCTCGAATGTTGCCCGAATTGCGGAGTCGTGCAGGGGGGCTGTGTGCCAAAGCGGGCATGTGGCAGTGGCTCCCACCTCCTTGTCAGGTCCACCTTGCTTCAAAAATACCCAACCCACCTTCTAACACAACGTGCTTCACTGTATTATGATAATCAGATTTAGCTACTTGAGATGTACTATATCTCACTGAAGGTCTGCTAGAGAACCAGAGTCATTCTTTGGATTAAGTGTTACTTAAAGGCTGTTGGTTCCTTAAAATTTCAAAGGGATCCTGCGTTTTGTTTGACTGGCTCTTCAGTGCAGGATCCATATTACTGTAGATTCAAGATTCGAGAGATCTTTGCTGTACATTGACTAGACTTTGTTCTTTACATACTGCATTTGCACAGTGGCTACACAATGTGCTACATACTGCACAACAAAAAATGCAAAACAGACACAAAGGCAAGACATGGCAGTACAAGAACTTGATGTAAACTCAATTAAAAAGTACAGATAGTGCAGTGAATGTATTATCCTGATGGAAAACAGTCTTGCAGCAAACTAATCACCTTGGTTCTGGACCTGCTTCTGCCTGACTTAATCACAGTCACAGGTTAGGGACACAGAGCCACAATAGACCTGGATGGCCCATGAGAACTTTATTCTAGACACTACTGTGGTTCCTCAGACAACTGTCTAGGCGTCTTGACCCCCTGCCCCCACCCCCGAGTCACTGAGGATTAGTGTTTGCTGTATTCACCTGGACATCAGGGTCATTTCACCAGGTCAGCTGTGAGCTGGTTGGAGATTAGATGAGGGACCCCCCCTATGAGCCGGGAGATTGAGGGAAAAGGTGTGCAGCTAAGCTCACGGCCTTTGCCACCGCATGAGTCCGCGTCTCCATGGCAACGTCGTGCCCACAGGTCATGTGGCTGCTCTCAGAGGCAACTGCTGACCCATGGAACAGGACAGCGGCGTGACCGTCATTCTGTTCAGCTTGACTGCTTGTTTTGACCATTTTCAAGCCACGCCTTTCTGCCTCTTATCAGCTTGTCAGTTTTTCCCTGTTAGTTCTGGTTTTTCTACACCTGATTTTTTTTTTTTTGCCCGTAAGGTTGCTGTGTGCTTATGGTTGATTGGGGGATTGGGACGAATCTCAGCAGCTGTTTGGACAGGAAGGAGACACAATCTCTACACCTGTTTTATGAGTTTGAGCCCTGGTCTGCTTCATCTCATACCGCTGAGATCTGCAGGCTGACTCAGTCCTGTTTGAACAGAAGTTTCACTTCGATATACTATGAATAAGTCCACATCGTTTTGTAGTCTTGTTTGCCTAGTTTAATCCCCCCTCCCCCAAATCTCTGTCATTATTGCCCTCAAGACTGATGTTTATTTAAGAGTTTTCCTTCCTGCATTTTAAGTTGCGGATCTTTGTGCAAAATTTTGGCTAAATTACTGCCTTTCATTATGGTTGCAGTGTTTCCATAGTGAAATTGGTGTCTTGGGATCTAGCTTTGAAAACTAGGGATATTTATTTAGAGAGTATTTAATGTTAAAACAGATTTGCCTTCATTTATTCCGCTCATATCTTGCTCCTGGTGTTTACTGAGGTGGTACCCCGCAAGATCGCTTAGCTGGATCTTTTTTGATATGTTGACATGGAGATGAACATATTCATATATTAATATACAGAACCGGAAACTGTATTTCATAAATCCTAATATAAATATATTCTCCTCCTACACATCTGGAAAACAAAGGAGAAGCCCGGGCCGGTAAACCCCTCTTCAGACAGCGTCAGTGTTGTCTGCAGATCCTGCCCTTTAATACGATGCGTCTGCCTAAGGCAGAGCCGGCTGCGCAGATGCCCGTTTGGAGCCACGTCCTCCCTGCAACCGGCAGCTCCTGCCCTTTAATACGATGCGTCTGCCTAAGGCAGAGCCGGCTGCGCAGATGCCCGTTTGCTCGGTGACACCTGCCCCTGGTCGCCATGGTGTCCAGTCAGTCAGCCATTTGTTATCTCACAGTTACTTTGAAAGCCAGCTGTGCAGTGGTGCTGCCTCCAGGGGGCATTTCGCAGCCAGCAGTAGTGGGGGGCAGAGAATGCCATTGATGTGCAGTGCCCACCCCCGTCAGCCGTGTTCTCGGGGTCTGGTGATTCACCAGCTGTGCCCGCGGTGCCATCTCTCTGTCTCATGGGGGGTCAGGATGTTCCTCTCTGCTGGCACCACTGAGCCTCGGGGCTTCCCTAGTGGCTGAGCGAACCCCCCCCCCCAAAACACGCACAAACACAAGGCTTTCATGTCGCCTAAAGGCTGCTCATCCTGGTGGCCCTCAAGGTCATACCAAGGTCATCGGCTCACTGGATAATATTATAGGGCTGTGTGGTTTCAGCAAAGAGGGCCCCTCCCTCTGGCATATTTACATATTCATTGCATCTGCTTCAGATGTCAAGCAGCACAGTTTAAGGGAAATAAATGAGTTCCATGTTTTATTGTTTTCTCCCAGTTTGTATATTAGTAAGCTGTGTTCTTATCGACGTGGATTTCACTAATTATAAGTACATGGAAAAAGTGGTGGTTTAAAGGGGGGGGGGGTACGGTGAGCCCCCCCAGTCCTCTTGCCAGCACCATGTTCTTGTGTATCCAGCGATGGACAGGGAATCGCTCAGGTCAATGGGCGCTGTCTGCGTGGCATCTGCGTGTGTCAGCAAGATCTCGTGTCCTTGGGAATCCATCTTGATTCCCGGTTTTCCATTTCCCCGGCCCAGTGTGCATGCCGCCTCCTGCCTTGAGAGTGGAATGATTCATTTCATGGATTCCTTTATTTCACCAAAAATCCACAAATATGTTTTTTTAATCATAAGGATCTGAAGGTAAATAAATGTATATGCTGTGTGACAGATTTTTATTCATTTTGAATGAGTTGTTAACTCACCATTTACCTTCAAATCATAAATTTCAACAAATCGCCCTGCGTTGAAGCCATGTTATGTCCATCACTGTGTTCTGATAACTGCTGAGGCATTTCTAAGCACAAAGATCTTGTGAAAAAATGTTCTCCCTATTTTGAATCTAGCACTGGTTTCTTCATTATAAAGCCTTGCAGGGTTCACATTTTCCACTGTAGGGTTTGTGTTTGTGCTGTTCGACTTGCCTTCTCTAAAGTGATGTCTCTTCATTTCTTCTCTTACAGGAAATCGCAGCTTACTTAATAACATTCGAAAAGCATGAGGAGTGGTTAACAACTTCCCCTAAAACAAGGTGAGAGATGTCAGAAGTCAGACCCATTTTAAAAAGACAACAGTGCAACCCCTCCCTCCCTGGCAGGCCTGATTTTTCATTTTGCTATTATTACTGTCCTGCATTGTCTTTGCTTCTGACATGTGGAAAAGCACCAAAGTAACCTTCACATTTAAGTCTTGGGTGTAAATATTATATTGATGCATGATCTTCCTTGTCTGTAACTACATGTTTACTGTCGCTATAACAGAATTATGGGTGCCAGGCTTTGACAAGATCAGTGATTATTATATGGCATAAATCAAAGGGTTTATGTTGTATGAAAAAGACTTTACGGTGCTTGTTGAATGAAAAAAGGCATATTTGGTACAAATAGCACTGACCTTGTGCGTGAGTTACCAGTTCTTATCTGAGATGTGCTGTAGATTCCACTGTAAACAGCTGTATTCAGATTCAGCTGTTCAGGGGTGTGTTATGGCCTTCCTGATTTAATGACTACTCAGTGCACATGCTTAGTGTTCAGATTAAGATTCAGCTCTCTGACTCATTTTCAGCTCTCTGACTCACATTTAGCACTGACTCATATTTATTGCAAAGATGCTCACTGATTCACATTCAGTGCTTAGACTCACATTGGACTCTCAGCTCTCTGACTAACATTCAGCACTATGACTATCATTCAACTCTCTGAATCACATTCATTTCTCTGACTCACATTCACATTTAGCTCTCTGACTAACATTCAGCACTCAGACTCAGATTCAGCTCTCTGACTGACATTCTGCACACAATCATATTTATTGCTCAGACTCACATTTGGCACACAGACTCCCATTCAGCACTCAGACTCACACACACACACGCAAACGCACACAGCACTCACACTGATTTATACTCAGTGCCTACACTCACTCTCAGACTCAGGGACCCTGGAGTGATAGTTGATTGGACACAAGGGTGCTTGGTACCGCCCAGGACCAATGACGTAAGCGGCTTTCCGTCGGACAGATGGAAACGCTGGTCCACGCAGGATGTTGTGCTCACCAAACCGTCACGTCCTGCCCTGGTTGGCAGCTCTCCGGCATCCGCCCAGGGCTCAGATCCCAGGGCCAACTTATATAATTGAACTAATTGCAAAGTATGATTTTCCTTGGATGTTTCATTCAACAAGGCGTCCTTCATCTTATAAAAGCCAAGCACAGGCCTCCTATGGGAGGTCAAAGTAAGTGTAGGTCCTGCCTGAGCTGGGGGGGGGGG